TCTGGAAGAGGCAGATGCTTTCATTGCCTTTGCTAACCTTCTAAACAAGCCATGCCAGCTGGCCTTTTTCCGTGTGGATCACAGCATGGTATGCACAGAGTTTTCTGGTTTTGAACCATAACATTCTTTTGACGTGAAGCACAGTTGATTTATTGTTTACTTCCTTCTGTCCTGTTGAATAATGGAGAACTTTAACCTGTGGTTACAAAATTGAGAATACCAGATACTAATCCATATAACACATTCTACTGTTTTGATTTTTCCTCTAGAAACACTTAATTTGTTGTACTTACCCTAAGAACCCATGTTATGCTATGTTGATATCCTCAAGTCTTAATGGGGTTTTGTGTTATTTTATGACAAAATATTCTTTTTATGACTGTTTATGAGGTGCTTCACTGTCTCTACAGATGCTGAAATACTTTGCAGCCTTTGAAGTATTCTTTGAAGAAAATCTTCCCAAATTATTTCTTCATTTCAAATCATACAGTCTTACTCCAGATATATATTTGATAGACTGGTGAGTTCAGAGAACATAGCAAACATAACCTTAGTGCTGTTGGAACACTTTTCCATTTTGCTACAGATCTTTCAGCAATAGAAATACAGCATAAAAAACATTCAGTAGGTGTTTGTGTACCTCAGCTTTCTAGGTCTTGTGAAATCATGGTGTTTTTTGAAACTACAGTTCCTGTGGCAAGGTTCAAACTTTATGAACTGGGATTAGGAGTGACATCTATTCAGATAGAAAATAAGACGCACAGGAGCCCTGTGTGTCTCATTTTCTTGTTGCTGCAGGTAGGAGTCAACTATGTGTAACATAAGTAGGGAAAAGGAGGCTACTACTTCACAGTTGTCTTAGGTTAGGACTGATTGTAAGTGATGACGAAATGAGCATAATCAGTACTGAAGAAAGTATGAACATAGGCATAGAGTCTTTTAAAGCAGAAGGAGGATGAAATTTAGGACCTGGTTTGGGAAGGGATAAACTTAGAAATACAGCGAACGTTTTGAAGGAATGAATGTTCTACAGCAGGGGGTACCAAACTACATTATGTACCTGTAATGGAAGGCAGTGGAAGCATTCATGAGGTTTGTGTAGTGCTGCCAAATACGAAATGTCTATTCGTAAGTGTGTGTGTAGATAAGTATGTGCTTCATATACGATTATTATATGGGTTAGAAGTTTCTAACAGAGTAAACTGAGTTAGGTAGAATTAAACAATATAAAAACATGTCACCTGAACTTTGGCTATAAGATGCAGTTTATCAGTAAGCATTAAGTTTCAGCAGGAGCAGGTTATACAATAGCAGCATTGAGTCAGGGGTGTGCTGCAGTTCTGAGAGGTATATATGTTGCAGAAATAGTGCTGCTGTACAAAGTACTAGAATATTCTGCTTCCAGGTACCTAGGAGAAATGAAGACTGTACTTCCTGCACATGCTCCAAAGATGGCCTTGAGATACAAAGAGCTCATCTTACAAAGGGGGAGTAGAAGAGGTTATGGTAGCCTGCAATAAGGAGTGTCCTGAGGTTCCTGAACCACTTCCCAATAGGAATAATGGGAAAACAGAGAACATTGTGCTTTGTATCAAAGGAACCACTACAAATTTATGGGAGGGGTTCTACAATATGGTACATATAGCAAACAGGACTCTCTGCCCATGTATAATGAATGCTTTTTAAAAACAAACTTTACAATAAGAATTGAAATTGGACCTTTCCCAGTAAGAATAGAACAGTGACTGTCTTGAAATTTTTGGCAATTTTTAATGTGAATAGAAATTCAAAATGTATCACAAAACTGTAGTTACTGAATTCTCATTCGTGCGCTGGAGGGATGTAGGCTGCTATTGAGATGATTTGTGGCTTTAGATTTAGTTTAGAAAACAAATGATGAACAGAGCTGTTAAACTGTATGGCTTAAGCAACAAAGATCATAACTGTGTAACATAACCCTTCCCATTACTTAAGTTCTTATTTGCATATTATACCCTGTTTGAGTGTAAAGATGTTTGTAACTTCTCTAGCCAGAGCTTCCTAAAGGGAGGTGGCTTTCAAATGGAGGATTTCCAGTATCATTAAGAGATTAGTTTCAGAATAAGAGTTCTGACTTCAAAAACCAGAGACTTGTTGATCTTTGAAATATGGAAAAAAATAAGAACATATGAAATAACTTGTCATCTTGGAAGCTAATGTAACTGAGATTTACAGGAGGTAGTATTTTCATCTTTCTGAAATAAGTTAAACTTGTAACTGTGCCTTTTTTCTCAATTGCAGGATTTTTACACTCTACAGCAAGTCATTACCACTTGATCTGGCCTGCCGTGTCTGGGATGTTTTCTGTAGAGATGGAGAAGAATTTTTGTTTAGGACAGGGTTAGGAATCCTTCGGTTGTATGAAGATATTCTACTACAGATGGACTTTATTCATATAGCACAGTTTTTAACAAAACTTCCAGAAGACATTACATCAGAAAAGCTTTTTAGTTGTATTGCAGCTATTCAGATGCAGAATAGTAACAAAAAATGGGCACAGGTGAGTTTCTTGGATAATATATATCAAGGCAGACATGTCAGCACATGAGTGTATGGGGCACTTTTCTTAATGACTACTTTATGCTGCATGTCTGACTTTGGAGCGATGGGTACTTCCTTTCTAGTGTCTCATTCTAGAAATCTATCTCCATGCTAATATTCTGGTGGTTAATATTGATCTTGTTTTATAAGACTGGCTTATTTATATTCATTAAATAATTTACTTTTCCAGGTGTTTGCCTCACTGATGAAGGATAACAAAGAAGGGGACAAGAACCATAGCCCAGCACTGAAAAGCTAATCGTCGTAATGTTGAGGTCAATTGAAAATGTGGAAAACCACTTGATGACAGAGGAGTTTTCACATCACTTCTATGTGGAAAAGCACTATAGAAAATGTGAAAATGAGATGGAAAAATGACACAGCGCTCAGTGGAGTAATGAACTGATGAAATCTTCACCCTTTTGCCAGTATTAGCTTTTGTCGTGGGAAGATTTATTTTCACACAGAATACTAAAACCTATGAACATGAGAAGTGGGGGAGTTCATATTTAATACTTTAAAAGGATCAGCTCAATGCAATAAACATTTGTAATAACTTCTGTTGGTACTTTAAAAAAAATTTTGAGGCATAACTTTTTTTACAAATACCACGAAGGCACTTTTTTTGGGGGATGAGGGAAATGCTAAATCTTAACGCCCCAAAAATGCTATCCAAACCAAATGCTTTGGTACAAATATTACCTCCAAAATTAACCATTTGAAAGTATTGAGGACCAAATAAGGTTGTTTGGTATGTTTATGTGCAAGATGGTTAAAATTTGGGAAGGGGTATTATCTTTTTTTTTGTTGTTGTTTTTTTAAGTTTCAGGTTCATTCTTCAGTCTGGGCAAATGTAATTAACTCAGGAACTGTGGAAGTATTGTGCCCAAATCTGTTAGAGCAAAAATCATCTGAATTTTAAACAATGGTGAGATCAGGGCTATTATTTTCAGACTGTACATCTTTCAAAGGGAGTGGTGTTAAGCATTTGTTTTGGTGTATTGGTTGTGCAGCTTACTAAAAATGGAGTGGGTATTCTGTGAAAGAGTTTTGCCACCAGAAGTTTTATTTTGTTGAGCCATTTCCAACTAAGAAATACTTGTACATAATGGTGAACACTAGAAGCTGACAAAGCTATCTGCAGACTTTGTGTTGACAAAGGAGCAGCCACTTTTAACACTTGAGAATAATGCAGACACAGAATTGTTTTTGAAACTATATTTTATTAGTGTGCAATACTGAAATCCAAAAAGCATCTGGTTTAGTGATACTTAATTCTTTAACATCTTTAAACTGTGAGACATAAGGTCATATTGTATGTGTCACGGCAGATATTTTTAAACATTTCCTATTCTCAAAGATGCTGTACAACAACTTGTGATTGTAGGGGATGAAAATTTAAAATGGATAGCACTGCAGGTGAGTAACACTTGCACTTTCTTGGTCCATTTTTGCTAATATTTAATGTAAATATATTCCTTACATGTGGGTTTTTGTAACTGGTCCCTCTGTGGAAATCAAGTCAAAATTACCATTATGTATTTTTAAGTGCAGGAGGCTTTCAATTGTCTGGTGTTTAAAAGCAGAGTCTACATAATTGGGGTAAAGATTTAGTGTGGTGTAACTTACATTGCTATCTGGTCTAAAAACTACATATATGCTACTCATAACATTACAATTTGAAATGTAAATGTCAGATTTTTCTTAACTTATGTATTCACTACTTTAATTGGATCCAATTTGTCTTATATTTTTGTGTTATCTTGTACAGTTTTCTTACTTTTCAACTATAAATCTGTATATAACTGTAAATAGAAGGATCAAGCCTTCCTTTAAGACCACTAGTAACAATTCCTGTGTAAATAAAACTTAATAGCAGAACTGTGCTGTGGTTCTTTTCGATTCGTCTATACCTTGCTGCTCATTAGGGCACGAGAGTGCCTCAAGAGTAGTGTTGTCTTGATGAAAACCTGAGTAATCACAGTCCTGGTACCTGGATTTGTTGGCCTCCCTGAGGAGCCGAGGCGAAGGGCAGTGTAGTACGCTTTGAGGTTAGCTTTGCTCTTTTTGAGACTCGGGGGTGAGCTCGGAGGCTCCCCGAGGGAGCGTTTTGGTTCGGGACAGAGGGTGGAGCACTAAATGACAAGATTTATTTACTTATGGAGTGGGAGCAGCTCCCCACCGAGCTGACGCCCCTCTGTCCCTCAGGAATGGCTGCCGCCCCTCGAGCCGGGCCCTGCCCGGCCTCCGCCGCCAGGGGACGCTGTGGCTGCGGCCGCGCGGGGCGGGGTGGGCTGAGCTCGGCTCCGCCCCCGCGCGGCACTTCCGCTACCCGTCGCCGCCGCAGCACGCGTTGGGGGCCGTCGCCATGAAGCCGGTAAGGCACAGTGGCGGGGGGAGCGGGGGGGGACACGGGGCCGGGTGGGACGGGGAGCCGCGGGAGCGGCCCGGCCCGGCCCGGCCCGCTGCGGGAGGCGGCCCCTGGGCCTCCGCCTCGGGTTCCTTGGGAGCGGGCTGCTCGCAGGTGCTGGCTCCGCCTCCCCTTCGGCCGAGCCGCTGTGTCCGGTGGTGCTGCGGCCGCGGGGCTGTTGGAAACGACAAAACTCCCAGCGTCGGGGTAAAAAAACTCCGAGCGGGTGGTAAAATGCGGCGTGCCTAGAGCGGGCAGCAGCCCGCCCCTTCAGCGGCGGGTTCCCGGCGAAATGCAGGTTCGTGTCTCACCCCGAGAAGGCGATTTTGCCAGAACTAAGGCGTGGAAGAAGAAATGAATCACCGTGGTCCGTTACACTGAGGAGCAGGGGTCGGAGCTTTAATAGAGAGCAGGTAGTCAGCGGCGTGTCCTGCTGCCCCGGGCTCGGGCTCAGGGGGAAGAGCCGAGTCGGAGCAGACATCTGGGCAGGAGCCTCGCTGGCTGTAGCTGTTCCAGCGCAGTGGTGGGTGTATAGCACAGGGACAAGCACCAGCGTTGCTTTTGTCTCTTCAGCACTTTCCCAAAGTCGAAACTAAAAAGGGAAGCTAAAGGTGAACTGACAAAAATTCCAGATTGGAGGAGCCCCACGCTGGTCCAGCCACTCGTCGCCTTACTAAAGGGACACATCTCCCCTTACCAAGACTGTAATACAGTGGTGTGTTTTCTGTCCACAGCCCTTGCCTTCCCATGCCCTCTAGTAGGTAAGCTGTGCTGCCTCAGTTTCTGTCCTGAACACTCTTGGGAGTGTTGTGTGGTTTTGGCACAGAGTGCCTGTACTGATCAGAGCCCTCTTTTTTGTGCCCACTGTGGCTCCCTGCACTTTGGCATGTGTAACACATACACAGCTTCTGCATCATGCTCTTCTGAGCCTTGCGGTGGGCAGCCTCATACCTAACTGTGTGCTGGGGAAGAACAGCATCCTGAAGAGAGGAGACAGCGTGCTTGGGAGCACACAGGCCAGAGAACTGTGCCCTAACAGTCTGTTTACCATACTTTGAGTGTTCATGTGTCTAAAAGTGATGGACATAAGCTTTAATAAAAAAATTGTCAAAGAGTGTTTCTGTAAAACATTCTTTGCAGGTCTCTGTTCTCAAAAATGTAACACGGTTACGTAAATTCGGAGCTAAGTGATGATACTACTTGGAAGAAACACAATGTTCAGCCTTGATAGAAATAAGATCTGAAACAGTGAAATAAATTTTTAGAAGACTATGAACATGTCAGTTACTTGTAGTTTTCTGTTTGTTTCCTAGAGAAAAAACACAAAACGGGTTCCAAGCTTTCGCAAGTTACTGAGAACTAGTAAAATAAAACTTGACAACAAATTAAAGAATAAACAGTACAAGCAGCAGAGTGCTGCTAAGAAGTATCGAAAAGAGCAAAAGAAGCTAAGGGAGGCTGTCAGAGATGCTATCTCTAGAAAACCTTTTCCGTTGGAAGAATGCAAGAAAAAACAAGTTGGTAAGTATTTGCTCAGTAATTTTTGTAAGCAAAAAGGTGTGAGGGTTACTAAATATCCTGCTCCTTCATGTTGTAAAATTATGTATCAAGAAAACATTTCATTTTCTGTGTACAAATAATTGTTGATATTGTTTAAAGGAAAGAAAGGGAGACTTATGAAAAATATAAAATGTAGCCATTCTGACAACACTATCTGACAGTTGGAGATGGCAAAAATGCATTTGCTCTGATCATTATTGGATGTTGCAATAAAGGAGCAGTTTTCTGGGATAACACAAAACCCATGCATGAAGGTTGATGAGCTCTAGGTTGAAGCAAGGTGTAAAGTGGTCTCACAGGTGTGGGCAGGGTTAGGTTTTCAAGTCTGAATATACATACAAGATCTTAATCTGTACACATCATCTTCTAAAATAGCTGAAAAACGGGAGGAAGAAGAGGAAGAAGATGCTCTTCCATTGGACATGATGGATGAAGATGACTTAAAATTAATGGAGGATTTGGCTCAAAAAGCATCCTTTTTAACCAGAGATCTTTCTTCTAAGTGAGTGTTGTTGTGATGTCTACTTTTCATACTAATTCAGCGTTTGTGTGATTAATATGTAATGTAATACATGCATCAGGAGTTCACTTTCAGTCGTGTTTCTTTGCAGTTCCAGTTTAGTGTTTCCTTAGTCTGTCAGTACATTCAGTATTAATGTATTGATGTATATCAGTACATTCACCTGCTCTGCCTGACCTTCAGGATACTGTTTCTGCACAGTGTTCCTTCCCATGAGGTCCTTGGCTGTGAGATGAGTAGCACTCCTCAAAGTGAAAGAAATGCTTTAATCTGTATACAGAGTCTTTTTTTTTCTGTATAGAGTGTGCAAGACATTCCCTGGACTTTGGGCCACTCTTTTTTTCCATATTGCATTGCAAATTGCTGAAAAAAAAAAAAATGTTGTGGAAACTGTGTCTGTAAACTCAGGCAGTACCAGAACATTAATACAAAAAATTTGTTACTGATTTTCTGGAGCAAGGTGTTAGGTAGAGTTCACAATGAAATATATAGAGGGATAGCACTCCTAGTTGTAGAGTTGTAAGTCTTTACAAATACACTTCTACAGAGTAGTCTGGTTACATGACTGTTTTTTTTGATGAATGTGAAAAGACTGTGTATGCCTAGCTGCTTTAGGGCGGTTTTAATTTTCCCTGTAAACTTCAGTTTTCTGTAGTTTTGGAGTGGTAGTTTCAGACTAAATGTTGAAACGAGAAAAAACATTTCTTATTGTTTTTAAGAAGACAGAGCATTTCTTCTAGCATTTTTTTGCTTCATAATTCTAGTACAAATTAATTTGTTAATGCTGATTATAGTTACTAATTAATAATTTAGTCTAGTTTCTAAGGAAAGTAGTAGAGAGCTTTTTATTTCCAAAGTTGCAATTTTGCTGTACTCTACTGTATGGTCTCTTGTAGCCACATTTCAAGTTCTTGAATTAAAAGAATTTTACTTCAAACCCTGTCCTCCCCCCAAACTAACTGGGTGTCACATAAGTTTAAAGTCTTGCAAAACTTAAAATTTACTGTGTGTTTTTATTTAGTGTCATCTTGCAAGATGCAGCTCTATGTGTCTTGCATTCATTATGACAAGGCATTTTTTGAATGGTGGAAAAACGCAATGGAAATAGTTGCTCTTTTGCCTGTTTACCTGTTACAAGCTTGATTAGTGTTCTGTTAAACTAGAGAATTTGTCTTTTTAATCTGCTTTACTCCAATCAACTATAATCATTATTAAGAGGTTGTCAAATATTACCTCACTTATAAATGATGTGTTCATATTAGCACAGACTAAATACTTATGTTTTTATATGCTTATGTGCATATTAGGAACATATCCTGTGAAAGTGTGGTACACCACACTGCATTATTTCTGTTATCCATGGAGAGTGGCGTGTGACACAGGCTTTCCCAGTGAGCAGAGTAGAAAAGCAATAATAGTAGTAGTAAAAACTAATGAGGAGTGGGTATAAATGAAAATGTGCAGTGACCCACTCATTACCACATCCTGGTTAAGTTTTGCATGGGAAGTCAAGGCATGGTAGGGGAGAGCGAGGCTGTGGGACATGTTAAGAAAGACACTGGACTCTTGTCCAGTGAGAGGGTCCTAGTCCTGCTTGCTTGCTGGTGGAGTCCTTCATGGCAGGACTTCTCAGAGTTAAGTTTTTAGTGAGCCTCAGCTGTGCCAGAGCACCTGCTCATGTAGTGGAGGAGCACAGTGGGGAGGGAGACAGGTAAAATAGTACTCTGGCCTTGGTGAGAGACAGGCTGTGCTGAGATCTTGATAGTTTCTATTTTGAATCTTTGTATTTTTTTTACACTTTTCCAAAATTTTTAAAATTTTAGGCTGAACTCATGTTTATGAAGGATGTTTGCCTTTACAAGCTTCATCTGATTTGTTGACTGTTGCCTTACTTTGAAGGGTCCCTAAGTCCCTTACTGCTCCATGAATGGGAGCAGTGCCATCTCAAAACCCATCAGCTAGTACTAGGGTTTGCAGATGTCTGGCGTGACTCAGAATTTCCCTCGTTTCTACAGCAACTGTATTTTCTTCGTGTTCAACAGATCAGTCACAGACTTGTAGAATTCCTGTGCTTGTTGAGTAGGATTTGGGTACACAAGAAAGGTTTGACCTGTACAGGGACTGCAAGGCTGAGGCTGGTGCACTGTCCTTACAGTGCATGCATAGGGGGACTGTGTCGTGTGCAGGGAATCCAGGTAGACTCTGTGATGTAAAACTACTTCTCATACAAGTGATTTTTACTTTTTACTAGCAGTCTCTGACCACAGAGCTTTCAGAGTCCTTCAGATGTCCATAGATGAAACTCTGTCCCTTATAAGAACAAAAGAAGTGTTCCTGTTATAAGACAGACCACGTGGCTTCAATAATGTGATTCTTCATCCCTGGCTTTTAGTTTCTTAATAAGATAAACAGATAACACACTTCATAGTGTACCTGTACTATAGGCAGTTACACCATTTTTTTTCTTTTTATGGTAAATTCAAAATCAATGCAAGCATTTTGCATGCATGTGTGTGTTTACACTCATATGCCAACATTTCAAAATTCATGAAGTTGGCTGACTTGACAGATTAACTACATCTCATTTTGTCTTCGCTCTTTTTACATTTAGTGTCCTATAAAATGGAGATGGGAAGCACTGTATAGTCATGAATTCAAAGATGCTATATATATGCACATTAACATTGATTGAGTAGTGACTGATACTGTCAGTGGTGAACACACTCCAACATTCCACTTAATAAGATCAGTCATTTATTTTTCTAAGTGTGGATACTTAATCCAGCTAGTATACTGTCATACATGGTTCTTGTCTAATTAGATGGCTAATTCATTTAGTTTGCCTTGTATTTTTCAGTGAACCTGTTCATGTCAAAAAACGAAAACATGAAAGCGTGATTGACAAATATGAGAAGGTGCCAAGGCGCATGCAGACTGAGCCAGAAAAAGAACTCATCCATCTGCTCCCCATCAAAGACAAGAGTGGCATTATTCCCCAAACTGTGGAGAAGCCAGGTAAGACACAGAATCTGCAATCAGTATAGTAGCCAAGTTGTATATAATATATTCTTTTAAAATTCCACAGTGTTTATTACATACTTGACACCAGATACTCTGTTTTTGCAGTTCTCAATGTTGCACAGAATGAAGAAGAGGATACAGAAGAAATGGAGGAAGCAGAGGGTAATAAAACATCATGTTTTCCTTTTGTTGTTTTGTTTGTTTGTTTGTTTTTCAAAGCACTGATGTATCTGAAGAGTACTTTCCTGTTCCCTAAGGAAGTTTGTAATTTAAATATATTTTGTTTAGGGTGTTTTTGAATATGTTCATTACCATGTTACCCCCAAAGCATAAAAGTGATTCAGATCTTGCTTTCTTACCTGCTAGGATCCCAGTGCCTGAGGAACAGCTGGCTTCAGAATATCTTTCTTTAAAATGATTTTGATTTTTACCTAGGATTGATGTTGGTATGAAGTTCCCTATATTATTTGTATCATCTTTGCTAGTGAGAAGGGAAATCTTGGTCTTAAAGAGTTTTTGTTGTGGTTCTAGTTTGATTACTCTGAGATTATTTTGAAATGAAGCTCAAGACACAGACTTGTATAGGCTTTTGAGTCTGTCTTTGTCTTTTATTATTTTAATGTAAAATATCAGAATACTGGGAAATTTGGATTTTGATTTACAGTTTGCTATCTGGTTAAGAGTCTTATTCAAATAACAATTGCAGTTGTAACTCTGCCACTTCTGGGTCATTATTCTCTAAATACAACCTGAAGTTGGGGAAAGACATACTTGTAGCAAAATAATATTCAGAAAACAAAAGTAAAACAATTGTATTTTTAAAAGAGAAAGTGAATGATGAATAATTTGCTGCAAATTGCAGAGCACTCCAGTTTCTTGGCACAGTTGAGGTCATATGTTGAATTTCTGTGTTCCCACTATACTTAGAGAATACCATTTGCAGATTCAAAGCCATTTAATCCATTTGTTTTTGCAAGCATAAGATTTTGGAGTGGAGCAAAAATTAATCTGCGTTAATACAAGCTCTAGCAAGGTCATTCTTAAAGCTTATTTTACTGTGGAACTGCACATTGCTATTGTGTGGGGTTACCGTGGTACCCATCTGAAATGCAGTATCTAGAACTGTAGTTTGCAGTATGGTATTTGTCAGGCGGCTTTCCTGGTGACCCTCTTTTCTAACTCTCACACCTTGTGCTAGACTTTAATGAAGAACCCCTGCCTGTTCTCACCTCTGAGGAAATGTCTGCTCAAAGGAGACAAAAGCTGCAGGAAAGGAAGATGCACATAGCTGCCTTAGCATCTGCCATTCTCTCTGAGCCAGACAACAATGTAGGTAGCATTTACTTAACATGCATGAATGTGTGTCTGTGTTGTGCAGTAAGTCAATGAAAAAAGGTCTGAAGTGACCAAACAATAGGAAAAAACAGAAAAAAATACATGGGTAGTAGAAGGGAAAAGGTCACTGTAGTATCAGTTTTCAGGGGGGTGGTAAACAGTGAAACTGCTGCCATAGATTGATACAAAGGATTTGAATCCTGTGAAGATTCAGGTGATGGTGTTTGCTATGTTCAGAGTAATTTGACCCAATGAATACTTGTGGTTTTAGGAATAATGCTGTCTGTGGTATTTCCTGTCCAAACTACCTTGTTCCTTAAGCATGACCCTTATTTAAGCTCCGATTTCAGGGTTGTATCTGATAGTTGTCAGTGTTTCAGGATATGCTAGTAATTTTCTACGATTCTGTGCAAGCTTGTAATAGCAGGATAGTTTGAACACTCCCAAGATAAAAAGTCTGTTGGGATATCTAGTATTTCTTGGTTCTTTATGCAGTGGTAAGTAGAGTCTGAGTAACTGCTGAGTTAATGGCTTTTTCTTTCTATTATTCAAAAATGAGGCACATTTTTTGTGGCAGACTTTTGCTGAAATGCACGTTGTACTTGTACATTGGTTTGTGGGTGATCTTCAGCTAAATTTGCCTCTTTTCTTAATCAGATTAAAAAGTTGAAGGAACTGCGTGCCATGCTGATGGAACAGGATCCTAATGTGGCTGTGATTGTTCGGAAGTTGGTCATGGTGTCTTTGATGGAGATATTCAAAGATATTGCACCTTCTTATAAAATTCGGCCTCTGACTGAAGCAGAAAAGGCTACCAAGGTGAAATATCAAATTTCTTTATAGACTATTGTGAGTAGTTCAGATTTTTTAAAGTTATGCCAAATACTAATACGGATTTGTTTAATATGAATTTATAGTTTTGAGCAAAGGGTGACAAATATACAAGTACTAGTGGAAATTCTGAAACTCTGACACTTTTAGGGACAGAGGTCTTTGTTTAGAACCTTTAATTCTTACGTATTTCCTTCAATAAGTAACTGACATGCTAGTGGTAATGGAGGGAAAAAATAGTGGATGTAAGTAGTAGAACAAACCTGGGATGAAAGTAGTATACCAGAGCTGGGTGACTTTCATCATACACCTTGGAATAAGGCAGTGTCTTGTGTCACACTGAAGGGAACTAGAAAGAATGCAAATTATGCAACATTGCCATCTATCTGGCACAGATTTCTCTGGAATGTGTTCAACAATCTGCTGAACAAATGGAGAGTAACTTGTTTCCTGGAGCTTGTTTTTAACCAATTCTTTAGCAGGTTTCTTGAATATAGGTAGAGCAGTATAGAGTCATGGCTTTAAAATAACATCTGGTTGAAAATTTCACTTCAGTCTCTATAAATGAAATAGGCATACTTGGAAGAGGCTCTCTGAGCACAAGAACATCTATAGAAGTATGTAGAAATATTATATTTTGAATACATTTCTAGGAATGTCTTGTCTAGAAGAAAAAACTACTTAGATATCTGATACTTGTTTTAAAACTACTTTATTTTTTCACCATTGGCTAATTTCAGGATTTAGCTCTCCAAATAAAAATTAATTTGTATTATGTTTACAGGTTAAAAAGGAAACTCAGAAACTGAGAGAATTTGAAGAAGGCCTTGTGAGCCAGTATAAATTTTACTTGGAAAATCTGGAACAAACAATTAAAGGTACAGTCAACACTGCCCATTTCTGTAGTAAATGCAGAATTGCTTGTGGCATCACAGTTAACCTCCTCTGTTTGAATGCTACCTGCTGTCTTTGAAGTAGTACTTGTATGAAGTATGCAGGAGAATGCCTGCAATAACTACAAATTTAAATATTTAGGAGCTCCCCTACATTCTGAACAGTAATCACTAAGAATAATATTTTGTGCAGATTGGAAACAAAGGAAATTGAAGAAAAGCAATGTCATCTCATTGAAAGCATATAAAGGTCTAGCAGAGATAGCAGTGAAGTGTCTGTGTGAGCTGCTTGTGACCCTACCACACTTTAACTTCCACAATAACATTATTGTTCTCATTGTTCCGCTCATGAATGATGCATCAAAAATGGTAAGTGACTTTCGGATTAGCGAAAGAGTTCTTGTTTTGCATGAAAAAAAATCTATTTCTGAGCTTTATTCCACAATATCCAGATCTTGTGGTCATATCTTTTTGCTATTTTACAGGCTATGTCTGCTTTCTAATTAGTAAATACCATCGGTATTATCAGTTAGCTGTTGTTGTGGACTTGGCTTTACAGAAGAATTTGTTTGAATTAATTTTTCAGATTTCTGAACTGTGCTTTGAGGCAGTTAAGAAGCTCTTTAAACAAGACAAGTTGGGCTATGCTTCACTTGGTGTAGTTAAGGTTATTTCTGGCCTTGTGAGAAGTAGAAATTACGATGTCAGACCCGAGGTAAGAGTATTTCTGTTGTATTACACAATTCTCTTCCGTCAATAGTTTAAAAAATATCTGAAAGTTAAAGTTAATGCAGGTGCTGGCTACAAACAAGCAGAATTTCCTCACTTGTCAGAACACAGGCAGCTTAGGAGTGAACTGAGTCAGAGGGTTAGAAAGAGGCAAGGGAAGGAGACTGGGAGGAGGAGATCAGATCCTGACGGAGACATGGGTTAGGTCAGGCAGGGAGAATTGAAGTGAGATAGGCAAATGGAGGAATGGATATAAATGGACAGTGCTGGGGAAGGAACTGGGAGAAGAGATGAGAGATCTAGGTATGATGGTACAGGAGGGGAGTAAACAGAAGAACCTTTGAGCAGCAAGGCACACTAGCTGGAGTGGAATTCAGGATTTCTCATCTTCCAGTCCTCTGTTGTGGATCACCTTTCATGGTATTTATTTTATTTGATTGTATAATAGGTGTTAAAAGTATTTCTTCACTTAAGAATTAAGGAAGTAGAATTACAAAAAGATTCTGAAGACATTGCACCAAAGAAAAAGTTCATGACTTACAAAGAGAAAAGAAAAAATCTTTCAAGAATGCAAAGAAAGGTATGACGTGCTTTCTCATGCTCTATTTCACTGACTTTATTTAGCAATTCATCCTAGCAATGATTACACTTCTGGTGCCATTGTTAGCTCTCAGCATCAATGATCAGGGTTTGTATTGTATTTGAACATTTATGAGGGTCTACATGGAATTTAATTATCTTCCTACTTTTTTTCTCTTTCTAGTGTTGATAATGCCTTTGATTGGTAGTTTCTAATAGGAAGGAATGTATCTAAGCAGGTTACTCTCTAGCATCACAGGGTGACTTAAGCAACTCACCAAGCATGGAATATTTGTTCTCTGGGTATCTTTGGAACCTGCATATCCAGGCTAGTTGGAAACATTTAATCTGTTGTTTTAAAATCAACTGTTTGTTTTCAGTGGAAGAAAGCAGAAGAGAAACTGGAACGAGAACTCTTGGAAGCAGAAGCGTCAGAAAGTAAAGAAAAAAAACTGAAGCTAGTAAGTAATTTAGAGATTATTTTCCTCTTTTGGCAAAGTAGCAGCTTCTAACCCTTTTGTAACCAAGCATCTCCCCTCCATCCCAGTCTGTCAGCATTCCACACCTCTAGATAATGTTGGCAGTTTACAAACATTTTGCCTGTGCCAGAGGTCTAGGTTTTAGTAAACCAAACCCTCTCAGTTTACCCAGGAAAGCCAACTTAGGCATTCCTATTTCCTTTTGTTCTCAACACAAAAAGGTATTTCAGTCCAGTGACATATGTCCTCCAGGTGCCCTGTTCCCTATGACACTATGTAATGGCTGTTACCAGCCTCTCAGAGTGGCCTTTAGGCAAAGGAGAAGTGTGGCTAGCATGGATTGAGGGGAAGAAAGGCTCTTTAGCTAGGAGTGTGAGGGGGCAGGAGAGCAGGACTTGAGCTTTTCAGCAGAAGAGCAGAGATGGCTGTGCCAGGACTGGTTTGGAGGGCGTGAGTGCAGGCTTGAACAGAGAGAAGCATTTTCAGTTGAGTTTAAGTAAATTAGAAATGTCTGTTTTCCATGCTTAAGTATTTTATTTTGTTTTATTTCCTTCAGCACACAGAGACCTTGAATATTGTATTTGTAACTTACTTTAGAATCTTGAAGAAAGCTCAGAAGTCTCCACTTTTGCCAGCCGTGCTAGAAGGTCTTGCAAAGTAAGAACTGAGTCCACCTTCTTTTGTGTGCGTTGGAAAGGACATAAAGTGCTAAAGGGATTTATAAGCAGTGAGAAAAGACCATTCCTGGCAAATTTGTTGAAATTCTTTTATCTTTTTGCTGAAGTTTTCACCTACTTCTAAAAACATTTCAATGTGATATGAAATTTCCCATGCTAGAATTGATGTGATGTGAACCCAGCAGGTTGTGATGATTATTTTGTCTGATTACTTCCTAAAGAACATTAGCATGTCCCTAGTGCTATAGGGAAGACATGATTAGCTGTTGGGGGCTGAATCATCCATCTGTGTGAAGATAATAGATGTTCAGCATTTGATTTAGCTCTTTTAAGGTGTGGATTTTGGCAATTCAAAATACTTTGAACTGAGTTTGCAGATAATGTCTGTAGCCTAAAGATAAAAATCTCTGATTCAAGGTTTGCTCATCTCATAAATGTGGAATTTTTTGATGACCTGCTGATTGTCCTTCATTCTCTTATTGCATCTGGGGTAAGCTGAGTTTACTTTTATTAGTTTTCTTTTCTTCCCTTTTTTCCTTTATTCTTTTCTGAGTTGGGTTGGCGGGGACCTTAGACATCACCTAGTTCCAAGCCCCCTGCCATGGGCAGGGACACCGTCCACCAGACCAGGTTGCTCAAAGTCCCGTCCAACTCGGCCTTGAACGCTTCCAGGGAGGGGCAGCTACAACTTCTCCTGACAACCTGTTCCAGCGTCTCACCACCCTCACAGTGAAGAATTTCTTCCTTCTATCTAATCTAAATCTCTGCTCTTTCAGTTTAAAGCTGTTACCCCTCCCCATAGCCCTACACTCCCTGAGAAAGAGTCCCTCCCCATCTTTCCTGTAGCCCCCTTTAAGCACTGGAAGGCCACTATAAGGTCTCCCCAGAGCCTTCTCTTTTCCAGCTGAACAACCCCAACTCTCAGCCCTCACAGGGGAGGTGATCCAGCCCCCTGATCATCTTTGTGGCCTCCTCTGAACCCGCTTGAGCAGATCCGTGTCCTTCTTATGTTGGGGGCCCCAGAGCTGGACACAGCACTGCAGGGGGGGTCTCACGAGAGGGGAGTAGAGGGGGAGAATGCCCTCCCTCAACCTGCTGGCCGCACTTCTCTTGGTGCAGCCCAGGACACAGTTTCTTAAAATTATGTTCTTTTGGTTACTTAATCAGTTTTGTGTTCTTAGGGTTTAAGCTATCGTGAAAGTCTTCATTGCATTCTCAGTGCTTTTCATATACTTTCTGGCCAAGGTAAGAGATTTCTAAGAACAAACTTTTGTTTAATATTGTCTAATAAATGAATGGAGTAAATGTGTTTACTTTGGATTATGTTAATAGGTGATGTTCTTAACATTGATCCGATGAAATTCTACACACATCTTTACAAGACGCTGTTCAGCCTACATGCAGGTAACTCTAGGTTCTTATTTGCAGTGCTTACCTAGATCATGTTTATTCTGCTTGTTTGGTATCATAGCCTTAATACAGTCTTAATAAACTACACTTGTCTTAAGATATCTGGGTTCTGAAAAGACTACTGTCTGTTTTAATCTATGTTTTTCTCAAGTTGCGTATTGCATTACTGCAATACAAATACTAGAAGTATTACTGCAATACATGGTAACAGATAACAGGATAAATTCTTTAATAGAGGAAAAGCTAATTTTTCCAACTTTTAAAATAATTTCAATTTAAAATCTGTTTTCGAAAATCTTCTGATATATATTTCTGATATTCTATTTTTCTAATTAAATTTTCTAATCTGAGAAGCTGAATAGTTTCTAAAAAAAGATATTTATAAAGTTCAAAGTGAACATAATTTTAATTAACTTCGTAGATGTGTGTTCACTAAGGAGGAAAGATTGAGGAAAAACATTCTACAGTTCTGGATGGGTAGAAGACTAAATCTTTGCACTGTTTAACAGTTTGTAAAACATGATATAATGAATGCACTTAGGGTTAAAACACGAATGCTTCTAATGTTTAGACATTTTTGATGGAACAAATATTTTCTTAGAAAGGAGCACAGAAATAATGATACATTTTTCCTGTTCAAAGCTGGACTATTTTTAGCAAAAAAGGATGGATGCTTATGTTTGTATTCCATTACTGCTGTGTGTGAACCTGTTAGTTTTCATGCTGTTTCTCAGGTTCCAGTGTACAGTCTATAGCAGAATATTTAGCTGTATGTTCCTTGAAATGGTTATTTACTCTTTGTATGAAATTTTGCTTTTGAGGTGGTACCAATGATGATACAGGGATTGTGCTCCAGTGCCTGGATGTCATGTTTGCCAAGCGGAGAAAGCAAGTTTCCCAGCAGCGAGCTCTTGCTTTCCTAAAGCGACTTTCCACGCTTTCTCTTCATGTGCTTCCAAACTCTGGTATTGGGATCTTGGCAACAAACAGGGTATTAATGCAAGTAAGTTTTATTTGTTGAAATTTTTAGCTTACTGGTTAAAGGTTATTGAATTTTTTGACAAATTGATTTTTGTGCATAATATTTTGAAGCATCTTAAGCAAGGGTGATGAAAACTGAGTATCCTTAAATGCTGCTGAGACTGAATAACATGGAATGAATCCTGATCTTAAACTTAACCATGTTATAACTGGATGTGTAATCTAATCAATTCAGTCCTTTTTTTCTGTGTTGTAGATATTCCCAAAGATGGACCTCTTACTAGACAACGAATCTCAAGGCAGTGGAGTTTATCTCCCAGAACTAGATGAACCAGAGCATTGCAATGCTCAGAACACAGCTCTGTGGGAGCTGCATTTACTGCAGGTTAGTCAGTAGCTGAGTGATTTGGGAAGTAAAAGTCAGCAGTAAATAGCTGCTAAATGTTTATATGCTTTACACAAATAGAGAACAGAGGTCTTCAGGCTTGTCAATCAAATCTAGCCCACATGGGCCTATTCCATACAAAGAGGAAGAGGAGCACAATGGTATAGAATTGTTTAAATTGGAAAAGACCTTTAAGGTCATCGAGTCTGACCGTTAGCCTGGCACTGCCAAGTCTACCACTAAACCATGTCCCCACCTACACGACTTTTAAGTACCTCTAGGGATGGTGGCTCAACCACTTCCCTGGGCAGCTTGTTCCAGTGCTTGACAACCCTTGTGGTGAAGAATTTTTTCCTAATATCCAATCTAAACCTCCCCTGATGCAACTTGAGGCCATTTCCTCTTGTTCTGTTGTTTGTTACGTGGGAGAAAGAGACTGACACCCACCTTGCTACAACCTCCTTTCAGGTAGTTGTAGAGAGCGATAAGGTCTTCCCTGAGCCTCCTTTTCACCAGGCCAAACAACCCCAGCTCCCTCAGCCACTCCTCATAAGACTTGTTCTCTAGACCCTTCACCAGCTTCATTGCCCTTTGAACATGCTCCAGCACCTCAGTGTCTTTTTTTGTCACGAGGGGCCCAAAACTGAACACAGTATTTGGGGCGCGGCCTCACCAGTGCCGAGTACAGGGGCACGATCACTTCCCTAGTCCTGCTGGCCACACTATTTCTGATAGAAGCCAGGATGCTATTGCCCTCCTTTGCCACCTGGGCACACTGCTGGCTCATATTCAGCCAGTTGTTGACCAGCACCCCCAGGTCCTTTTGCACTGGGCAGCTTTCCACGGGAAAAATGAGCTCAGGGAAGGAACGTGCTCAGAAGGGGATGTTACACATCCCCTATGATAGTACCACACTGGATCTTACTGCAAGTTGCCTAATAAGACTCCTTTGGTGGCTTTTTCAAGCTGTTAAGTTCCCTTGCAATTCAGTCCTTCTCTAGGGAACAACTGACACCTTGATCTGTCATTCTAGCCAGGGCTTAGTTTGGGGCCTGGGGAGGGCTTCCTCTGTCCTTTTTCCTGCCTTCTGGGAGTAGGAGTTAGATTAACTGTGGAGAGTTACGCTCACAGCATCACATACTAGTGAATAAATGTATGACTGGGTGTTCTCATTCACTTAACCGCAGAAACTGACTGATTTTGGGGTGCTCAGTTTCTCTATCTAAACAAAAGCAGAACCTTCCGTTTTACTGAAATAGAAATAAATGTTAGAATCCGTAAATACTTTATCCCTTATTCCTTCAGTCAACTGTCTTCTTTCTTCCTTTCTTTCAGAGACATTATCATCCAACAGTGCAGAAATTTGCAGCTCACCTTATTGTTGGAGCTCCAACTGAAGGCTCAGGAGCTCTTTCACTTGATTTGAGCCAAAGGTGAGTTATCAGAGAGTTTTGTTTTTAAAAATAGTGCCCTGAAAAAAGAAGCTGTTGCTCATACTTTATTAAAGGAATCCCTAAAAATAATTATCCATAAAATGAAAAGATTCTGTTCTTCAAACTAATTTTCTTTGTTCTTCTGCCAGCACAGAATGCTGGCTGCATTTTTTTGTTTGTTTGCTTGATTTTTTTCTTTTGAGGCTTGCTGCCAGGCTGTGACAAGGGTAAAAAATCTCAAAGTGCAGTGTGCTTTCTTCCCGTGGGAGCAGAGTATCTGCATTTCCTCAGTAGCAGCCCTGATCTGAATATGGATCAGGATCACTGAACTGTGGTTTTCCAGTGTAAACTGGAAACCAAGTTGCAGCAAAAGGTCCATAGCATGTTAAAACATAAGAACAGCCATCCTGGTTCAGACTAAGTATCTAATTCAGCATCCTGTCTTTGGGAGTGGCTGCAAGCAGGTACCTCAGGAAGAGTGAACCCAGGGTAAGCATGTAAGAGACATGCTCTGAGCAGTGTCCTAGCCTCCGACTGGTTTCAGCATGGTGGATTTCCTGAACATGCTACCCGTTTCTGTTTAGTACCTCTCCATGGAATTCTTTTCAAAACTGTTCAGTATCCCTTGAACCAAAGCACACATTTTGCAAATACAGCATCGTTTGGTACAGGTTCTGTGAGTCCACAGCTCATTATGTTAAGACCTATCTTCTTTTGTTTTGAACCTGCTGCCAGCATGCATCATTTAACAGTTCCTGGTTCTTGCTCTGGGAGGGGAATGAGCAGTCTGCCCTAATACACTCTTCCTGTGCCTCACATGACTTGGCAGACCTCTATCATACTGTCCCTCTGTCTACTCTCACTTCTGGCTGAAGGGATTCAGCCCAGACAGGAGCTCTTCCATACTTTTCATCATCTTTGTTGCCTGTTCCTGAGCTTTTACTAATTAAAGTATTTCAAGATGAGGAAATTGGAGACTCAAATAAAATAGTTGAGATGTGGGTAATCTGTGGATTTAGACACTGATATAACTATTTTCTATTCTGTTCTCTGTTTCTTTTCAGTTCCAAACAGCATTAAGGTCACAGAAAAGCTGAGATTGCTTTTCTCTATGTCTTTTTTTTCCACACTAAATTTCATTTGTGATTTTGCTGACCCTCTCATACAATATACCTGCAGTTCTTCACAGGCAGCTCATTCTTAGCACCACAAATAACTTGGTACTCTCCAGCTCATCTTTGAGTGTGCTGAAAAGCACAGGTCCTGCACAGATCTTGTGAAAATCCATAGTTTCTTCCTGCCTCTGCAAAAACTGATCATAAACTCCTGTCCTTTAACCAGTTCTTCTCCCATGTGACAAGTCTTCCCTGTTCTCTTATGGCTTCTTAGTTTTCATAAAGCATTTGGGTAAGAAACTGTTGGAATTCTAGCGTATTGTATCCGCTAGATAACCTTTATCCACATAGGTTTTTTTTTTTACTTTTTCGAAAATGTACACAGCAAGCAGTGACTAATTGGAGCTCTGGCAAGCCAACAGAACAGTTTTCTTATCTCTTGTTTCTTCTGACCCCCAACTGAGCATTTGAGACTCATTTTACTTGCTTTTACTTTCAACATTTCCCAGCTGTGGACTTCTGATCTTTTCCAAGTGATGCTTATTACTCTGAGGAGTTCTCTTTAAGCATGGTGGAGGGTGTGAATGGTGTGTGTGGGGGAGAAGCTGCTCTTGGTTTGGTGATGCATTATTTGAAAATGTATCTAATGCCATTTTTCTTTCACTGTTTTTTGCTATAGGCTTGCTACAGAACTTTTTGAGGCATACAGTATGAGAGGAATGACCTTTAATCCTCCCGTTGCATCCGTACCACCCAGAAGAAAGGTAACATCTCGTCTCTCTGTGTCTGTTTTTAACCACATGATACACCAATATAACCCGTATCTGCTGGCTCACTATGCAGTGCCCAGGCATTAGCATGCTTAGTTTGGCTTCCTGGTTTCTGTACTTTCTGTGTCAAGTATTTTTTTTTAATGCATAAGATAGCACTGACTATAAAGAAGGAAGAAAAGCTGTATGAATAGTGCCACCTCCCGTAGCAGCAGTTAATGTAGCAAGATGAATGTGGTAGCTATTGCTGTACTTACCTTTTGCACTTTGCAGTGGTTCAGTGTAGATTTCTTGTCCCTTTTTTGTAATGATGAACTGATGTTTGTTCAAAAAGCAGTAATAAAAAACCAGCTCTCTTTCCCCAGTGTGGGTAGTTGGCAGAACAGCTGGATTTCCAGAGCTTTTGATTCAGTACATAGAAGGATACTGATTTCCATTAGTGTCACTTTATAGCTTTAAAGTGTAAATTGGAAGGGAACTAAGAGCCTAGTGTATAAAGAGGAGAAATATGGATACTTTTTGGATCCTCAGCACTGGATCTTTTCCAGATGCCATCCTCCCCTGAATGTCCAGTGAGTGGTGTGTCCTTTAACAAGCTATAATTTTCTTTCTTCCTAATGAAAACATTACAATCTCTCAACCTTGTTAGTGCCTTCAATTTGTAACTCGGTAATGTCAGTTAAAGCCTTGAGAGCACTTTTTTTTTTTTCCATTTTAGAGAAGCAAGTTCTGAAAATATATTTTTACTCACTTATTCTGTCCTTTTACAATGACTTCTTGATGTGTCTGTCCTGCTAGGGTGTTACATTAGCAGCTCTGACAGAATAAGACTGGGAAGAGCAGATAGGAGAGAGATTTGTGTAGTGCTTGACTAAGGAAACACACAAGCTCTTTATGGTAGCAGAAACAAAGGAAGAGGAAGATAACAGAGAGAGCAAACTGTCCACAGGCAGTTATAATGGACATAACTGGGAAAATTACCTTGGGGTCTTGTCTACTCTCTGGCTGTTTGACTCATTTAACAAGTCTTGGCAGTATCTGATGGACCTGCCTATCCCTCCTGCATATTTTCCTCTGTGTGCCATGCTGTCATCCACCCTGCTGACAGAAGCTCTGAACAGGAGTTTTCTTTCCCTGTGCACCACTGAAGGGAGGCTCTCATTCGTCTTTGAGTGCACAAAGTACTCGACTGAGTGTGAAGACTTTAACGGGGAGCTATACATTACATACATGACCTTCCCCATCTGAGTACCAGGAAAGAGTGGGGAGGGCTCCAGCCCTGGCCGCAGGCAGAAGGGGACTCTTGAGGCAGGGTCAGAGCATTCTTTTCTGCCTCAGCCTCTACCGTTAGCATTATTGCTCTCACTGGCATTTTGATCAGAGATGCTTGATTTGCTGTTGTAGGGTGTGTTGAACAGCAGCAGTGTGTAAGCGCCTTCAGAACTGGAAGCTGTGGCTGTATGTAGTAGGTATTCTTCTAAAGCACACTTTACAACAGTAAATCCTCACCAAAACCACGAGCTTATGAAGGACTGCCTGACACATCACTTTGTTGCTAGCCAAGGGAAGCTTCCTGGCAGGCCAGAGAGACGCGAGCTCCCAGTTCCATAGGTCTGGTCTAGATGAGCAGGGGCATGGGGGAGAAACAGGACGGCTGATTTAAGCTATGCATGGAAAACGCATACTGGCCTTGGTTATTAATGCCGCTAATATTTTGTAATTTTCAGGACACGTTCTCACAAATGGATTCATTTATAGACGAAGAGCTAAACAAACAGCTTCAACAACACGTCAGTGAGACTGTTGTTCACAAACCCATGGATTTTGCTAAACACTTGAAGGAATTGTCCTTGTTGTAAATGGATCTATCAGTGTTCCATTGGCCTCTTAATAACGGAGAAAGATTGGCTGAAAGAGATTTCCACTTACCATTAAAAGAATTCAAGTATGCATTTGTTTGAATATAGAAACACAAAAAATTTAACACGAGTTTTTCACACAGTTACAAGGCATCTCCACTTACCCACCGACCCCATGTTCTCAGAGCTTGGGAACCACAATTGAACAGTCACATCAGTAATTTTAAAAGATACAAAACCAGGTCATTTTAAAATTGTTTGCAACCATACAGTGTGGTATTTTTGTTTATATATTTTCTAATTTTTATAACATAATATAGACACGTGTTTCTGAGAAATCACTGGGTTGTTTTGAGAAATTAATAAATATTTTGGAAATTTTAACATAATACTGACTTCTTTGATGTTTAAAATACCTAGAGGTTTGGAATAGGTGTTGCATTTTTTGTTTTTCATCTGATGCCTCTTAACCATTTGTCTCATCTTGAAATGATTTTGCATTTGGTGGGTTTTTTTCCCTCTGATGAATCTTGGTATTGGCAAACTGAGATTACTGAATTCCAGTTCTGAGCTATCACCATGACTGAATGCTCTACTACAGTGTCTTCAATAAACCATTGCTGTCAAAAATACTGGACAAATTCAAGGTAAGAATTTAATTTTTTTTTTTTTATCTTAATTTTCTCCCCATTCCCCACATACTAGTTATTGCCTGGTTGTTTTAGAATCGATTTTCAGCTGCATGTTGGCTTTGCAAACAGTAAGTAAAATATATGAAATAACTTAAGTGTTGACTTTAGGTGAATTCCATTCTACAGAGGAGTGTGGTGGGCTGTCCCTGGCTGGTGGCTAATGCATTTTGTAGTGCTTAGTCCATGATGTGATAATGATGCATGTTGTAAGCTTTGCAAAGCTTTTGTTCAAGTCACTTAACCTCCTTGCAGTAATAAGAAAATATGTCTTTTTTTCTAGGGTATTTAGTCCTTTGTCCTGATTTACGGTTGTTAGATAGTTTTATAAGTAACTTATTTTTATTTTAATATATGTTTTTAGTATTAATCAGACTAGTTTTAGTATTAATCAGATCAAATGCCAGGTAGTTAAACATACTGTAAAATTTCAAGCAGTTAAACATTCACAGACATTTTTGGAATAGGTATCTATCCATGAATTAGAAAATTTTACTATGTAGATTACAAAACTGCCTACATAATACTGATGGTAATACATGTGTTTCTGTCTGTTTAGGTTGACATTCCCATAGCTTCTGAGTAGTTCATTTTAATTATTAAGTGTTTGCAAATATGGATGTGATTTAAATTCTGAAAAATTCCACAGGAACCATTTGCCAGTACTTTGTCGTTTCAGGAAGGCAAAAGCAAAGACTCAATGTCTTAAACCATTTATTTTCTTTACAACATATACAAATACAAGTTTATTCTTCAAGTCAGCAGAGAGAAAATAGTCCAGGTGGAAAAGTCATGTTTAAAATTGTTCATTTTACATAGTTTCCAAACGTTACAAAGACTGGCACATAGTGATGTTGCACTGTCAGAATAATTTGACATGCTTTAAGAGGCAGAGGAAGATAACTGCACAACTACATCATTCTGAAATACCCTATACATGTATTGGAGTGAAATCCATTTACTGCTATTTATTTTTGTGTTTAATTTGCAAATTCTGCCAAATGTCTACCGCTATTGAAGTTACAAAATATTTATCAATCACACAGACAGAAAAAAACACCACCATTGTTACATTTAGTGGGCTACCCTAAAAGTAAACTGAGTTTTATAGTGGAATAGTAACAGCCAGTGATTAAAAACCAAATGTCAGTTGAAGCATTTAGAGCTAGAGCAGGACCAACAGTTCAGTTTGAGAAGCTGCAGACTCAACCTTTCACTCATGTGTAAAGCTACCAGCAAGTTCTTTTTTAAAGACAAACTATGAATGTAAGAGAATATGTTCTTGAAATATTTAGCTATTTCCATGTTAAACTCTTTAATTCTTGAAAGCATGTGATTTCTAGAAGCAGGTAGCTTTCTAAAGATGGCTACTGAGATACTTCATCTAGTACTATTTGTAGCAATAAAAATAATGTGACTAGGTTTTAAAAATTACAGCTGACAGTATTTTTTATTCTTCTAAGTGCTAAACCTGGAATCAGCAAGATAGAAACAGGAAACCCTTCAGGGGGTAGGAATTACCTCCTGGTGTGCCTCAGTTCCTGCAAACTGACTAGTACTGCAAGGGGGCCAGGATCCATGGCTGCCCAACTTTCGTCCCATACAGTCACACTGCTGCAAGCAGCACATGCTACACAAGGAAAATGTAAGAAATTAATAGAAAACTAACAGTGGTTTTAAAATAGTATTGAATAAAATACTTCTGTATTTTTGCCAGTAGGCAACAGAGCGTGAGATTTCCACCTGTAAACTGTTCAGCATGAGGCCTGCTACCACTCAGAGACTGCATGTTTCTGGAAGGTGTTGATTATTTACATTCCTTTCTTTCAGACTTTATCCTGGAAGCTGCTTCCTGTAAATAGTTTGTAATGCAAAAATGAATGTATTTTCCTAACTGGTGTCCATGCCCAGCCAAAAGTTTTGTCAGTCTTGTCGTAGGAATATGTGGACAGATATTCCTGCAGAAATAAGATCGGTGGCCAAGCAGAATAAACTTTCCTATTAGAATAACAACTCAGCACATGAAATCTGTTTAACTGGGCTTTCATAAAAGTCAACAAAAACCCCCAACCTGTTTAATACTTCAAGTGGTGTTGTATTTTCATTATTGGGATACTTCGAACAAACATAAAGGGAAAGATACCGTATTCCTTTCCAACTTCACCCCAAAATGTACCACATTTCATCAACAAAAGTTTATTTGGATGTTTACCAATACCTAAGCTTGAAATTGATTGATGTATGTACATTAATGAAAATACTGGAACAATGTCATTAGCCTTACACAATTCCAGATGTCTACTTGCCTATAAAACTGGGGGTTTTTAATAGAAAGCTAAATATTTTGCTGTTCTCTTTCACTGTGATAAACACCAGCAAAAGCAACTTTAGACTTTGACAGATGAGGAAGATACTTACGTTAATAAACTACTCCCACAGCTAGAAAATTATTTTATTGGCAGAAATAGTACAAAACTACTGGTTTTAAATTGCTACTGGACTTCAGGCTCATGTTAGACCTGCACTACACAGTGTGACATGGCTACTGTTGTCCCTTGATTTCCCAAGGGTTTTTTCTTTTTAAATCTATGAGTTGATGATGACATGGGTGTAAGAACTTTGTGTTGAATCTAATGAATGAGCAAGCGTGTCTTCCAGACTACTATGATACTACAGGTGATGTTAAGAATTTTATTTTCAGTGCTGCTGAATACAACAACAAAAAAAAACCCAAACAGGTAAGAGTAAACTTTATAGGAAAGTAAGTATTGTTTCTAAAATGCCATGAACACCAGAAGAAAGAATTCTTAGCAATGTGAAACTGCTACTGTGTTAAAATAACAGAGAATGGTGCATTAGTTGCATTGTGCAGTAGGTTGATGTAAGTATTTCCCAGTAATTCCAAAGTATTCCAAAGCAAACCATGCATATAAAACTATGGGTAAGCTGTCACTTAAAACAGTTGACTTAAGTGTCAGTCGTGCATTATGCATGTGCCATGGGGGTGGGGTAGGGAGAGAGCATACCTCATCCTTACAGGATGTAGTTGTAATTTGTAATATGAGTGACAAGTCTGAGCTAGGTGGTGGCTAGTTTTTTAGTTGGATCATATTGCTGAATTGCCCAGTGCTGTTGTGTTACATCAATACTGAGGGTAAGCAGTGGGAAGTGCCTGGCCTCTGGGAGGGTACGTCCCGGGGAAATTTGACTTCTTTGTGCATCTGTAGTTATTTTTTCTGAAAGCTAGAAATGACCTCAAGGGGGCACTTTTTTGCTTTGGTAATAGCTACTTTATGGGGATTGTCTGTAGTGTATAGTGAAAGACTCTGTAGCTTTTGGTGACAGAAGGCAGGTTCTGTCAGCTTGTTTACATGCCAAGTAATGACTTTGGTTTCTTTTATTTAATTTTCTCATTATGGGGGGAGGGGGTTGGGTATCATGGGACTACTGCCTGTAACTTCTTTAGCTTTCATCCTTGCACTGTCAAAAGTAAACCTCAGATTAGTTACACTGCTGTTTTATCCTTTGCCTGATGCAGCTTCTCTCTTAGGAGCAGAAGCGTTTTGTGCTCGAGTGCTAAAGCTGACGTGGAATAACTGTATGCATCACTCCCTGTATTCATGCATTTCCCAATTTAGTCATACCAGGTAACTGAAATGCTTTGTTTAGGGATTGCTCTAGGGAGACAAAACATGTGCAGAGCATTTTATTTACCACAGAGACACTTGTGAGAAATCAAAGAGATGACTTATTTCAGCAACTGTTTCATCTGTGCCCTTGTAAATTGGTATGGACTGTTTTAACTAACCAAGCAGATTAGTAACTCCCATGGAGAAATAAGAGAGACAGTCACAACTAACTTAAATATCAAAAGATTAATTCAGCAGACATAAAACTTTACAACAGTGTTTCTATGTAAACAAAAACATCAAGAGTTATAGTGTAAGAGTTCTTTATACTCTCTGGGTTTAACAGACAAGTAAAAAGTTATTTCCTGACTGTATGGAAAAATGCATTTTGATTTCAAAATTTTGAAATGTTAGTTATATTTATCAATGCATTGTTTTGAGCTTGGTCAGTTCAGGGTATTAAACATTTTGTGCTGAAAAGAAACCAGAAAAGTTCAAACGTTTTTTCCTCTAAATCCAGAGAGGTAAAAATTCTGCATTTTCTAAAAAGTAGTATATGATAAATATATTATACAATGGCACATACTTTGGAACATGATAATAAATATTCTTTCTTTAAACACAAGCCTGGAAAACTAGAATTGATAAGAAGAAAATATTGTTCCTTGTCAAAGTTAACACTACCAGTTAGGTGTAATTAGCTATTGTACATTATTTTGTTAAAGTAGATAAACCATAAATAATTTGAGCATTTGTGTGTATTCACCAAAGTTAAACAGATATGCAAAGGAAGTTACAGTATATTTAAATCTCTTTACAATCACTTAACACAGTGTTTAACAGAATTCTTCAGGTAAAAGTGCATTATTTTAATATAATACACATAAAAGAAACCTCTGGTTCTCTGCCTTCAGTTTCTCTAGAGGCAACTAGCTAAAATTATCTTCTGTTTAAAAAAGGGAGAGTGACAACACATGTTTGTTTACAACATACAGTCCAAGAAACTTCTTCTTCCGCCTACCGAGAATCTGCAGATGTGAAGATGTGGGAAGAGCAGAATCTTCCAATAGCTGACAGGAATCTTTCCAATCTACGCCATCCCCTTAGGATTCCCAGATTCTGGATGTTAATCCAGCAGCATTGCCTGGAGGAAGCATCTAGCACAGGGCACACAGTTACTGACCAGTTTGGTCCGCAGCAGGTTCCCTCAAAGGCACTGCAGAGGATTCAATGATGTAAATTCCAGTTTTCAAAAAAAGGGAAGAACAAATGCAGAAAAAGAGGCAATGTGACTGGGATTATTCCATAATTTACTTTGTTTTACTTGAATTCAGATTGTTTTGATGATTTAGGGTTTTTTATAGTAGCCTAGAAATAACGTACCAAATTTGTCCCTTCATATTTGAAATGTCTTGCAAATGAAATTATTATTTGAATAGAGTAACAGTGCATGTCAAATAAAGCTTTAATAATTAGGTGTATGTGGAAAGAAAAATGTAATCTTAAATTGTCCGTACATGAGAGGGGATTATCAACACTGAAAAAGATTTCTTCATTTACAGTTAGCTGTAACTTCTCAGATGGTATCTCAGTGCTGTAGTAGCACCATACAGATACCTGGTT